GCAGGACACACCCTCCCCCGCCAGCGGTGATGTAACACCTTTGGAGCGTTGCTGTTGCTACGGTAACAGGCCAGTCAACACCCTGCCCCCTCCCGTGGTGACGTGACCAAGGGATGCCGTGGGGTGTTGACTGGCCTATTACCGTAGCAACGGCAACACTCCGAAGGTGTTACGTCACCGCTGGCGGGGGAGGGTGTGCCATATAATGGATAAAGATGCAACCTCATTCAAACTTCTAATGGAGAAAGAAGGGAACAAGATAAATTTACAAAAGAGATCAAGGAAAGGAATAAAGGGCATGAAGATAAAAAATAAATTATTTCTATTGAATTTTAGCAGGTTTTTCTACCAGTCCCTTCTTGCTTCAAATGAAAAATATGATGAACTAGGAATCACTGAGCCAAAAAATTTGTGTTGGGACACTGGCATGGAGTAGTTTGACATCTCATATGGCAACACAGAACTTAAGCCCCTCGCAAAGACAGTGGAAGTTCTAAGTTAAGACTCCTGGTACCTATTGGAACATTTTCACTCAAATCAAAATAATGCAGCATACAATGATTGTCTAACTTATAGTTTTCAGTTTGATACATACTGTGTTTCTAATCTTTGGGTCAATGAGATATATATATGGGCAGAACACTATGTCAGCTGTAGTTATCAGATCCCGCGATGCAAAGTAAGGACAAGACTTTATTGTACGGCCTGCCTGTACTAGATCCTCCAGGTCCCATGGAGACTCCATCTTGTAGTATTCTAGAGCAGTGTGTGATGACATACGACCATTTTTATACATGCACCCACGTCCCTGAAAAACACAGCTAATTTGTTATTTAGCATTAAACATCATCCACATAAAATACAATTTAAATACTTTACTTTTCATTTCATGCATCCTGTTGTGTTACAATATAGAACATCTTTATTATATCTGTCACAACACAACTATGAGTAATATCAAGATCAGACCATTTTCAGCCCTGCTACATGTTTCGGCTATTGATAGCCATCATCAGGCAAACACATGATTTACACACACATATACACCACTGAACCGCAGCACCAACAAGATTGGATACAATATTATTAAAATATATAAAAACACTTGCCGTAAAAAATACAAAAATCAAGTTATATAAAACAGAAGTATGATATAAAATAAGAATAACATTCTTTTGGTGGTTTTACATCAACATGTCAGTCGTTGGTTTGTGATTTGTTTTTTGTTTTGTTCCCACAGACAAGTTGGAATATTCATACTCATATGTATATAAAATTGTGTATGAGGCTCATAATGTAGATGCAGTAAAGTAAATTATAATACTCGTATTAGTCAGTGCCTCATCTCACAAAGTATTGTCTGTACTGTAGGGAACACATCACCACAATCTTCAAGATAGAAACCAGTAAGCAGGGCAAGAAACCAGCAGAAGCAGGCAGAAAGCTGAGTTTTCTCTCACTCTCTGAACTACATGGCATTACACCCAGAAGACCATACTCTTCATTTCTTACATCCATTTCAGAGTCTCTATTTTCATTCCCATAATAGTTGAGACCTATTTCCAATTCCAAGACCTACAATAACAGTCTAAATTTTGAATTGCTTACAATGTAATCCTGTTTTGTAGTATATTTTCATAAGAATTAGAATCACTATGAAAAATGTTAGAGCTTTTCAGAATACAAATTTCTAACATTTCTCTCTTCCCTCAGTGTGCCAGTTTTATAGTTGAAAATTACTGACATTTTCTAAAATTTCAAGATTAAATTTCTGGTACTTATGGCCCGATGATTTCTATACAAGTATGGATACTGTAGTAGAGAGAAATCTAATTGATTATGTGTGCAACATCTAATTTTTATCCAGTGTGCCACAACACAAAGTTTATTCCGTCACTAAAAAATGTTATCATTCATTTTCCAAGAGAAGTGGAAATTTCTGTTTACTCTAGATGCCACTATTTTAGAACTCTGGCCACCTGTTGTATCTACCTCAACAGGGTCGAGCAATGCACAGCACATTTCTGTCTTGCTTCTGAATGTATGACCACTCCCAGGTGTCTGGATACAAGTATGCTCTCTACTGGACAGGATAGTCATTCTGCACAAACATTAACAATGTATGAAACATTTATGGACTTCAAAGACCAATAACACTGATACTTTATACGACAAGACATCAAGCTATTTACTGATGTGTCACAAAAATGGTCACAATGAGCAAAAAGAAAATAAACAGGAGAATGAATAAGAACAACTCCACAAAGCGTGCCACAGCACAGAGTTATACATTTCAAATGCATGTATGAAACATGTAAAAGGCTTAACCTACAATTACATTTGCTTCTATTAAGCATTTTTGTAAATCTTTTCATATTGCTACATAATTGTGTTACTTGTCCATTCACTACAGACGATTCTGTACAATTTAAATTAAAAAACCCGTACTTNTGTGGCAGCAACGTTAAGAGTATACACCTGATGATGGCCGATAGAGGCCGAAACATGTAGTGTAGAAAGAACAAGATCAAAGACATATAAATGTATATTGTTTGCACTTAGGACGGACTATGTATCATTTAACCCGTACTTCATTGGAGATAGCTTTGCTGTATGACTGAAAATGGATCTAGGAGTTTATCATAATAGACACCATATGTATCCATGGCCTATTTACACTACTCTAAATGGATATTGATTCTATTTTTTAATCAGAACTAAAGCCTAATGAGAGCATTTGAACCACTTCAAATAGTAAGAGTCACTACTTTACGTGAATGCTTAAATAAACTTTTCTGTTTGTCTGATTACATAGCCACAAAAACAAGTATTTTAGGCAGAAGTTATAGAATTTTATATGAAAAATATATTCAATTACGTGGGAGTGTTCTGATCCAATCAGCCAATAATAAGAAATTTGATGAAATGTGCCTCTATTTACCAGTTTATGTGATAAACCCTGTTATCACAGTGTTCAATATAAACAAAAAAAATAAATGAAGTAGACTGCAGTGCTATTCTCAAGTGTACTTTTATTACTGTTGTAATGTTCAAGTTACTTGCTGATGTACACAGCATCACAACACCATATACATGATCTACATAATAAATCATATGATAAATAGTTAAATAATAGTCCTATTAGTTACAAAAACATGTGATCATGGAATATACTACATTCAATTATTTTTACTCTCTGAACATTTAATTAATTTTTCTTACAAATCTGAGTTCTATGTGTCCAGTAATGTAGAACAGGCATGTCCAACTTCAAACAGGTTGTGATAGACTTTTTAGTGTCAAAACTGCCAGTGATCTACCACCCCTTCCTATCATCATACCTCTCTTTAAGCAAAACTATTGGTTAAATTAACAGTTCACGTGATAAGGATAGAGTAGGGACTTCCCCACAGTTCACTTAACACAAGTGTAAAGCAATTTTCAGGAAGCTACATAAGAACAGAAAAATAGGAATGACTAATACATATTTTCCCTTCAAAATACGAATATAATCATATTATATTACAAGTAAATTTACATGCTTTTCACGTACAATTTCCTTATAGGCCTATGAGATCGACCAAAAATCGTTCCGCGATCAACGCGCTGGACATGCCTGATGTAGAAGATACTTACTTCACATCTTTGTACACTGTTTTTCGGAGTTCACGCACAACTTGCTGTATTTGTTGGTGTGTTCTTGAGCAATAGAAAATTTTTGGCACTCTGCAACACAAGTTCAATGTACTTTCATTTTGAATGAATGATTACTACAATCTTTACTGTGCAACACTTAAATCTTAGTTGTGGTTAAACTTAATTCTGTACTGAAGTTAAAGGCTATAAAACAACACCAAAGCCTCTATCAGAAAATAAATACCCTACAAATGGGGGGGGGACATACTTTCCAAATTCATTTTTTGTGTACCTTGCTAGTGTTAATGTCCATTTTCTTTACAGATATCAACCTATGGGGCAAAGCTGATGAAAACCAACGATAAATTATTTTGCTAGGTATTTCATCAAGTATTAACCATAATGAAGAATGTCAGGGTATTTAAGCACTAATGTGAGACACAAGAAATATTAAAAATTACAGCCATGTTAGTGCTTGTGTTGTTGATCAGTATCATGATGGAAGTTCGCTCATGAAGATGTCCATCCATAAATGGCTGTAGTGAAGGACAGTTGATTATAATGAAACCAATTTTGAACACAGAAAATTTGATCACTGAGAGCTTCACCAAATGCTATTTCTCACACTTGCATTCACTTTGCCGAAAAGTCTTGCCACTTCTTCAGTTCTTGGGAAAACCCAGAAATTCAACATTTTCAAAGGAGTTCACAATGTGAGATAACTCTTACATCAGACTGGCAGGTGTGGACTTGTTGGAAACAAAATACAAATAAACTACACATGGCCAACATAGCAGAAAACATGACAGAAGTTGCTCAGGTCAGCCACTCATACGTCAGTATCGATGTCTGAAATATAAGCCATATGTCTTAATGACATCTATTCTTTATGGTATGCATAAGGTGTTACATCACAATCATTTTCTAAAGCAATGAGTAGATTTTACTTTACGTTTCTGGACCAATGCTGGGCCAATATGGAACATAATGGAATTTGTTAACGTTTAGTGTCAAACTTTTGTATCAGTTTCATTAACATTCATTGAGAAGTTACAAAGACAAAACAGGCAGACAGAGAAAGACATGACTTACTAACTTTTCATTTACTTAAAGCTCTTTCTCAATATTACAAGGTTCTTATTCATAATAATATTTTCAAAATTATACATGAAGTGTTCCACTTTTTCATACAAAGCTGTTCCCTCACACACCATACACTGGCTCCAGTTACCATACATAGAGTAGTAAAACTCTGCATTTCCAAGAAGGCGTTTCATAAAATTTAAATTACCTGCCTGGCAGTCAATACGTACTGGGGTTTGGCACTTGTTCCTTCTTCGGTCTCCATGCATCCATCCTGCTTGGAAATGCAAATTGCATCCTTTGTCACTGTCTCTGATGGTGCTGATACATCAGCTGTTACATCCATTTGTGTTGCTGACTCTTCCTTATGTGGAGTTGAGTATGGGGACTGACATATTCCATTTTTAAAACTTGGAGATGAAGGGGAAGAATTCTGTTTTTGACCTTGTCCTATATTATATGCAGTGTCACATGTATGGGTATTCATACAATCTGAAGAAGTACTGAGAGCATTAGCTGAATTCTAGAAAAAAATATAAAGTAACAAATGACATAAGATTGAGGGATTATATACATAATGAATTTTACATAGAACTAGAGATGTACTAGAACATTTCTACAGCACTATGCAGACAGAATTAATTCACTGCAAATACAGGTGTCTGGATGAAAGGTATCCAAAATAAAAAACTTATATATCAGAAACTAATTGTCATACGCGTATCAGGTTTATGTCATCGGAAAGGAAAACTCTGAAAGTTTTTATCACGCCTGACTTACGCCTATGCTGGAAGAAAGGGGAGAGTTATCGGGTACCACTGCCAGTAGAGGGCTGACCTCGCTGGCAGAAAGGGGAGATAGCAGGCACCAGTATTGGTGGGGTATGGAGACAGTAGAAATTAAAGGGGGCCGTACAATAGACTATTAGTCGCGGTGCATGGGGAAACCCACCCCCTCTATAGTGAATAACTGAATAACTGAAGCACACTTAAGTACAGAAATTATATGGCCTACATACTCCCTGGACTTAAATTCCTGTAGGAATTTTGAAGAGTCTGCTTAAATTTTACTATCCAGGAAAAAACTGTCCATTATCACATTTATGTTGATATTTAACGAAATTCAATGCAAAGAAAATATGAGAAGTGTGGATAACATTTCTGTTATCTATAATAAAACACACCTTTGTATCTTTCATCATCTTGAAAATTTTCTTTGGACGCATCTGAAAATCCTCCATGTCCTCGTCACTATCGTCATAGTACACGACTGCACGTCCTGCGAAAAGAAGTATGCTTAATATCAGATCCTGTACGTTTCCAACGAGAAATTAGTACAAGAACTACAAGAAATATTTTTAATGACACAATCTGGTGTCTCTTCACACTAATTTAACAAGAGTATAACAGCATATTTCAAACCACACACATATTTTCTGTATGTATTTTTTGCAATTTTGAAAACACTACAATTAAAGTTCATTTATTGCCGATATGAGTCTATTCACACTACATACAATCTGTGTACTATATCATTTACTTTGTATTTCATTCACTATACTGCATGCATATAGAAATGGGGGGGGGGGAAGGGAGCCGTTTTTGAGAAAAATAATTACGTCTGATTTCAACTTTCTGTAAGGTACACGCTCTTCCTCGAGGACTATTGCCTTATCGTGGAGGGGAGGTGTGTGCACCCCAATGACCTGAACAGTTATGCTGGCGGGAGCTTAAGCTCTTGGTAGTACCACCCACGCCAGACAGGTAAAAGGGTAGGGGTCAGAACAAGTGTAGTCCCTGGTCCTAAAGGTTGGGATTGGGCGTGGGGCTAGCAACCCCACCCGAGAAATATCTACTGTTTGGAAACCTCCAGAGTGTGTGGAGGGGGCCAAGACTCACACAGAGTTGTAGCGCCAATGAAGAATGAGGAAGAGGAGGAACAGCTACAGGCTGTACTGAACACACGGGGACACAAATTAAATATGCTGCATAGCTTTCACTGTGAAGCCCTTTCCCCACAAAGTACCAAATTTCATAAAAATTGACCGAATGCAATTGAAACATGAATAAAGATGTAGACAGACACAACTTCCCCAATAACCACTTCTTCTTATAGGTTCTGTGCAAAAAAAAAAATCATAAAAGTGATTTATCCTTCCATTTACAAGCATAGTATTATATGGGCAAAAATTAGAGGTTACCAGTATTTTATTTCTGTATCATTTGGATCCATACATTTGAAATTTGAATCAGGGTATATAAATGGAAAAGAAAACTTCATTTTGTACCTCAAACTCCAAAATAATTATCCAAACAGAAATACATTTGAAATTTGAATCAGGGTATATAAATGGAAAAGAAAACTTCATTTTGTACCTCAAACTCCAAAATAATTATCCAAACAGAAAGATGTCAAATTTATAAAATCTTCAGTTGCTGCAGACCAGACAAAAATCAAAAGTTGCAAATAAGATCTAAAAGTTTGTGACGATGTTACATTAGCAGAAATATTATGTTTTTGGACATTATCCATTGTCTTGTCTTTATCTAAAACCGTTTATTTGTCAAAACACAACGTTTCGGAGACTGGGTTGTCTCCATCTTCAGGTAAAACCTACTCAGTTGGGCCCAATCGATGGAGCTACCCCTTATCTCCAGACCTATCTCCAAGTTGCAAAGCTGAGCATGTGTGATCACTATAGATGCAAGATGTGGAAATATGTTTAACACAAATTTCATGATATGTATAAAGCATTTGGAATATATGGTGAAATTAACCATGACTGAAGAAGCTGGATCAGAACAGATAAAAAAGGAACTACTCCAAAACAACAGAGGGGAAAAAACAAATTCTGAAATTACAAAAATGATACTGCTGTTAAAATCTACATTTATATCATTTGCATCCTTTCTGAAGGGATCATGCCAACATAAACAAGCAAACTTGTCTCACAGTACAACTCCCGTGGGTGTTACGGCTTCTACTGTTTGATATCGCAGTTTCACTCTACTTTACCGCCTACTTCTACAATTCATCATAATCATCAGTAATCTGTCAAGATGACAGGTCCACAGTCTCTTTCAAAACAATTCCTCCATTTAATGCGATCTAGAGCTTTCTCCTTCAAATGAGAATATCCTCTTCTGTCCCCAAGGTCATCCAGCATCTTCTTACGTCTTCTTCCTCGTCTTCTTGTCACTTCTATCCGCCCCTCTATCTTTCCTTCGATAACTTTCTTAGAAGGCAGTTACCACGTAAGATATGACCAATCCAATTAGCCTTCCATTTTCTTATTTTGTGTAGGATATTCCTCTGCTCACTGACTCTAAATAACACTTCTTCATTTCTCACATAATCGGTCCAACTGATCTTCTCCATCCTTCTCCAACACCACATTTCAAAACTTTCCAGATGTTTCTGATCTACTGCCCTAAGTGTCCATGTTTCAGCCCCATACAGAGCTATGCTCCAAATGTAGCATTTCACTAGTTTCTTCCTCAAATTTAAGTCCAATTTGCTGGTAAAAAGATTCTTCTTCTTGCTAAATGCAGCTTTTGCCATGGCAATCCTGGATTTAATTTCACAAGTACACCTTCCATCATCTGTTAACAAGCTACCCAAATATTTAAAACATTTCACATTCTCCACTTGTTTTTGGTCTATCTTTATTGTGACTGGGGTTGGTTGTCTCGAAATTTTCATTACTTTTGTTTTCTCCACATTCATTTCCATGCCATAGCACCTTCCAATTTCAATTAGTCTATCAATCATGCCCTGTAGCACAGTTTCTTCCTTAGCCATTAACACAAGGTCATCTGCATATTTCACAGTTTGAATAATTTGCCCTCCTACTTTGAAGTCACCGAGCCCATCCAGAGCTTCCTTGGTAAGGCATTCGCTGTACAAGTTGAACAGAATTGGTGATAAACAGCATCCTTGTCGAACTCCTCTTCCAATCTGCACACTTCCTGTCTCCCCTCTGTCCAGTCGGTGAATGACAATGCCATCTAAGACAGACACAGTCTCTGACTGCCAGAACACTGGGAGCATGGGGTTGACTCACTGGATCATGTGAATGTCAGTGTTGCATTGCTCTGTACAGGAAGAGGTCTCCTCATTTAGGATTCTACAAAATATCTAAGGAATCACAATTTTCGAATTAATTCGGAGTCAGAACACGTCACAATTAAAAGGATGAACTTCTGAAACACTATAAACATTGGCGTCAATATATTGTACGGGGAACAAATATTTTTACTCTTGAAGAATGGCGTCTTCTGGGATGTGGCGCCGTGTAGACGTTCAACCGAAACGTCGAGCTGGTTCCTCGCTCGTGGATTTTTTCTATTTTCTTATATTCTGAAGACGGAGGCAATACGTTCCACCGAAACGTCGAGCTGGTTCCTTGCTCGCGGATTTTCTTTTTTTTCTCCTACCCTGAAGATGGAGGTGATACGTTCCACCAAAACGTTGGTTTATACCATGTCTACCCGGCGCCACACCCAAGAAGACGGCATTCTTCATAGTCACCGCAGTGAAAACCTCAAATCTTAGATTTTTACTCTTCTTCAGAACAAGACTGCAATGAACTGATGTCATGGGGAAGAGGTCGGGCCTAAGATAAATCGAACTGGGGGGTAAAGACGGAGAGGAAGGGAGACTGTGATGCTAACTTATATGCACACAAAACTCAACTGACATTTGCTAATTGAAACCATTTGGTTGCTGTGAGAACCACATCCCTTAAAAACCAATAAACCTATATATCTCCAAGTTGATTTTATTGTTTCTGTTTGCATTCGAGAATACTTACATTTAAACCACCGACAAGAGGTGGGATATCTCAGTCCGTAATGTGGCTGGGCTATAGGTTGGATGAGGGGGGAATCAAGGTTCGATTCCCTGCAGGGGCAGAGATAGTGTCCAGAGTCAGCTGGGGCCCACTTAGCCTACTATTCAACAGATACCGGGGCCTCTTTCTCCGGGGGTAAAGAGGCCGGGCTGTGAAGCTCAACACTTACTTGCACCTAGTGTTGAGATATACTCTCACTTCTCCATACGTTTTCATGACGTGGCGCTTAATTAAGCATAAGTACAACTTTTTAAGCCACTAATTTCTCTCCATACAACAGTGTCAAAGTGCTACGTGAGGTCACGGTAACACAGTGCGCCAACAGAGCGAGGCATGAGCTGGATGCATGTAGTGGATGGATCTGCCAGGAATAGTCTGTTGTATGCTGTATTTTAATTAAATGTGCTTATTTAAAAGGTAAAGCTGTCCCTGTGCTTAACCAAGCACTACGCCATGAAGACGTATGGGGGACTAGATGTATAGATCCACATTTTATTAACGTCAGCACTAGCTGGAGGTGAGTGATCAGCTTCACCCCCCGGCCGGTTTACCCCAGGGGAAAGAGCTCCCCGTACCCATTGGATAGGAGGCTCGGTGGGCCCCAGAGTCGGTCTGAAGAACGCGGAAAAGGAGAAAATTCTTGACCCTACTGGGTCTCGAACTCTGATCCCTCTATCGTCCAGCCCGTAGCCAGTTGCTATGCAGACTGAGGTATCCCGGTTCGAAAATGGCTTCCTGAAACCTCCATTCTGATTATTTTTTTTTTCGTTTTGAACATTATGATTGTATTCTGAATAAGCAAAGCAGTGCCTCTAGTTGACAATGAAGATGAGAGTGGGTACTTCAATGTAGAAAACAAGATGTAACAAATTACTTGTACGAAAATTTTATTGTAGAATTTGTAGCTGTACAATAAATCGTCATATAAATTACTCTTTACACTATTTAAATTTGAATATTCGTAACCTCGTAACCGTCATAAATGTGACACCGATTAATTAAGACATTCTTTGCTCCACTTCATTAACAGTCACACACAGATGAGTATTGTCTTCTGGGATGCAACGTTCTGTAGTGTGGGAGACATTCACCGACATTTCGGAGGCACTTACTGCCTCAGTCTTCAGGGTTTAAGAGTAGGCCAAGTAAACAAGATACTACTCTTTACAGTTACCGGCGCGAGAGACTCAAATTTAATTTCACAAAGTTTAGCCACTTCAGCCCGTGACAACAGCACTGACAGTAACGGTATAATTTTGGTCTGTTTATCGTTAACTCAGGTTATGTGCAATCAACCAATACCAAACACCTTACATTTCAGGCCCTACAAGATTACAATAAAGCACGATACTGGGACAACCCTTATTCACTAGCGAAGACAACACCACACGCTGCTAGAGGGAACAACACACAAGCAAGGGGTATA